GACTTACATGGCCGCAAATCCCGGCTTGAATCTCCTCCGGCAACTCCAAGAAGGTGATCGTGGGTGCTTCCACTTGCATGTCTTTAACGCCTTCAGACGCCATATCGTGAGATTCCTGCTGTGATGCCTTCAAAAAGCTTCGAGGAAGGGGCGTGTCCACGATCTGGGCCACAGCTGAGCTAGGCATCCCACGAAGGCCACTGCCGTGAGGAAGACGGAGCGCAGATGCGTCAGGCTGTCACATGTATATCGTGTTGAAAGTCGGGGCGCCTAGCTACCAGGTGCGTGATGGAGAGAAAGGTCCGAGCCTCGCGGGCAGAGTAGATTGTAGGCGGAAGGCTTGCGGTCTGAGGGAGTCGGTTCGTCGCGCAGGAAGCTGGACGATGGCAGTTGCGGAGCACGAGTTAGATTGTTCTTGCTCATGTGTGTTCCGGTAGTATGGCAAAATATACCAGGTAAGTTAACGCGATACTCGACGGGAAAACTTCGAGAGTTACGGTAGATGCAATGGAGTGGACAGGTCCAGGTCGACAGGTGAGTGCATGTGGAAGATGGAATCGAGATACGGTAACCCAGGCGTGGACCCACCGGCGTAGAGCTCCCGTCAGGTCCCCGCTGGAAACTTGTGTGGGGAAGAAGCTAGCGCAGGTATGGGGAAGGGAAGGGGCCACCTTTTAGGTAGTCTTACCCATCGCATGTACGAAGTACAGCACGAAGTCCGAGCGCTAGCACGGTATCAGTGGGTGGAAGCAACCAATCGCTTCCTTGTTCGTGGAAAGGCTTCGCACTGTGCATTCAGCCTCATACATTTAAAACACGGGCAGGCATTTTAGGTGAGGAGCTTGGGCCACGCTTCCAAGGTTCCTAAGATATCATCTTCCCGTCTCGGCCCAAAGCTGGAGCAATCCACGTGCCTTCCACTTACCTTTCTACCAAGGTCCACGTCCCACTCGGCCGAGACCGTATAAGAGAGCTCGTGTGAACGGCACAGCCCAATGCAGTGCGAGCGACGGCATGTGTACGTGTACCAGCCAGGGACATTCACGCTCTCATGATCAACATGATCAAGTATGTAGCAGGACACAGCTCTATTGAACAGCTTCCCAATCTGGCTCATTACACATTCATATCCTTGCGCTACCTGGAATTATCCTTACGATGCCAGCATGACGCAGGTTTTCGTCGGTTGGTCATGGAACCGGAGTTACCACCTAGGGCAGCTTGCGTCAGCATGGCCGATTTCGCGTAAAAGAAGGAATGACACTTACGAGAATAGCTCTGTATGTAAGTAGACCTCGCTCGCCCCGGTTCGAGAACTCAGTATCCTCTTCTGCGCCTCGGCCGCGGCATCGTTGGCCTCTTTCAACACACCAGCCGGACCGCACGCGACAATAGCGACCGAAGATCCGACATCGACGGTTGCTTGCTCGATGGTCTCGCCGATATCACATCGACTATATATGCACGCGATCGGGACCTTACTGTCGCCCTCCTGAGTGATACCCTCCTTCTCGTCAGGAGACGGCCTTGCGGCGCCTCCAGTTCGGTGCAGGACGATGTCGACTCCTTCCAACGTAAGAGGCAGCTCGTTTTCGTGGAGGAAATCCACAAGGGCATCAGTGTACCACTCGACGATGTGGGGATCGCGCGATGACAGTACCACCCGCATTTTAGGTCTCGGCCGCTCGGTAGACGATGGCCCCTGTTGGGCCTGGTAAAGCAGCCTCTCCATGATCAGGCCGAGGGCAAACGGCGCTCCCGCACCACAAGCGATGACCAAGGAGTGGTCGTAGGTGTGCAGCGGCCTGCCTCGAATCCCTCCGTACGGCCCATCAAGAAGTGCCGGGACACTGTGGTCTGGTTTCTTCGCAGCCGCAGCTCTCAGTCTTCCTGTGAGACCACCTCGTGGCTGTACGTAGAAAACCATCTTATTCTGTCCCTTGCTTGAGCCTTTACCCGCCACACTGCAGATGGTGAAGGGGTGGGCCGTGAACGCATGGACACCCAGCGTCAGGAAGCGCAAGAAGATATGCTGGCCCGGCTGCCACGCGGTCGCAGAAGGAATGGTGATCTTGACTGCCTGGTCGGACACGATGCTAAAGGTGGCTCGGTGGTTGATGCCATACCTGAGGTATGTTCTGAATTGGGGGTAGAGGAAGTGCAGCGAATAGAGGACACCGGCAGCAATGAAGTAGTTCCTATAAGGCGGTGAGTTTCCTAGACCAGTTCACGGCAAACAGGACGACTGACGCTGAGGTTAATTCGAATCCGCAATGGATAAAGAAAAACACGACGAAAACAAGAGCCGCCGCATAGTGTGTGAGCTTGAAGAACTCATAGAACCGATTCCTGACCATTGTTAGTGCCAGGGCCCCCCAAGCGAATGGCTATCCCTACCTGATCCAAGGAAGGGACATGAACTGGAGATAGCCTTGGAAGACCAAAGCCACCACTCCCGTCCAGTAAAAGACATCCGTGTTCCACTCCTCCTTCATCGTACCCATGGAAATGTTGTACACTATGAAGGGGAACGTGTGGACCAGCGCCAGGACGAGCATCGCCCAGCCGATCCAGTTGTGGAAGATTATAAGTCGTTCGTGCGAGACACCGGTCAGGGAAGCGATCATGTTGGCCTTTGTTGGCAATACCCTTCAACATCACTGTCAGTCAAGCTGTTCCCAGCAGCTGTTGCGGTCTTCTTCTCAACTCACAGCATGAAGGGCAAACAGGCCAGAGCCATCCAGCCCGCTCTGGTAGCAAGAGGGGGCGAGTTGCCAAAGTGTGCAGTCGCCGTGTTAGGCCAGTAGTACGGTTTGGGCCCCAGCGTCATGCCTGTACGCTCATTGTGTTAGTTTTCTGGTGTCCTCGTCTGGCAAGTTCTATACGACCGGGCCAACGCACTGAGAAAAACCACCGTCCCGATTATGATCAATGCAGCGACTCCCAATGACGGAGTATACCAGCGAAGCCACCTCAGTTCATAGTGCCGGTACGTGAGATATCGCACGGCTCCTACACTCTTCTGCCACCAGGCTTTGCTTCGGACCGACGCCGGGGCAAGTCGAAGTGCCCAAAAGCCCATGAGACACACACCTATCGTGGCGATGAAGAAGTATATGGTGTTGTATGCGTATACATGATCGGCTTGGTACCTTCAGGTCAGGTGGTCTTAGCTATGTGCTTCCTCACGAACGTCCATCCTCCTGCTAAGTACTCACCAGTTAACCCAGTGCTGGGTCTTGTAGGCGCATTGCTCTGGGGTCATAGTACAAGTCGAACTCCTCGAGGAATGGAGCTCGACAGGCTCCTCCATCCAGGGGATACCCATTGTCGCACTCGGTGTTGCCTGTCAGCGCCGGCTTGCAGTCGTCAATGGTCGCGCCGTGGAAACGACAACTTTCCGATCCTTTCGCGCTCGCCGACCATGGTGCCAAGGACCTCTGGGAAGGGAAATATCTTATACGGATCTGTAGTCCCAGAGCTCTCGTAGTCGGCGCTACTCCCCTGGCCCCATGTAACTACGTGGACTGGTGGCATGAGTTGATGCTAGACACGCAGCTATAACCTGCCGTCTAGGCCGGAAGCACCCTTCAAGCCCGCAGCGCAATAAGGCACGTACATTCGACAGGCCTGACTGGTCCTTCCGTTTCGTGTAGTGAGGAGAAATGAGCAGGTTTGCGCAGGATAGCTCCGAAAATGTTTCCTGTTTGGGTCATCCTGACCCATGCCGCCGTAGCCGGGTGAATAACCGGGGCGCCTTCTGCCGGCATTGGGAAGAAGGACGACGGACGGGAGTGGCGTGAGTGGAGAGCAGTCGCGATGTGAAGGGTTTGCCAAAGACGAGACGAACAGGCCGTTCACAAAGACCCGCATGGAGCCCTTCTCATCCTGACTTACCGCGCGTTATTGGGCTCGGGCGATAATTGACGAGTCATTAGGTAGTCATTCTTTTACAAGTTTGATTTGTCGACATCTCCATTCCAGCCATTCGTATTTTTGACCAATATCTAGGTAGAACGAATGATGTGCCCATCACGACACTACACCAAGCGCTCGCCCAACCATGATCATCATCATCATCAATACACTTCGAGCCATCCGGGTGCTCTTTCTCGGGTTAGTGTGACGATTCAAGGCTAGGTAGCCTTACGAGAACACTAAGCGTCTAAACGAAACCTTCCTTTTCTTTGGTAGACGAAGTCGAGAGTTTCAGGAACTCCCTCGAACCGTAATACGGGCCATCCAGACTGGCAGGCTGAGTCGGACGCGCTGGCTTTCTCTGCGCAACGTCCTTGATGCAGAGAAGACAGGCGAAACGCTCAGAAATGATCTCTTCTTCTGAGATATCTAAGTACTCAGCATGTCACGCTGAACAAGGGCGCCCGACTAGCCCTCTATGATCCGTTTCCTCCATGGTATACTTCGACGTGACCTGCAAAGAAGAGATGAACAAGTCAAGAGGTAGGACTCTCTGACCTATCTACCCCGCTAGGCGCCGATGCCGATTGTTGATGCCAACCTTCTTCCCACACCACAATGATCCCATCCTTCAGACTTCGGACAATCAATCCATGGAGCGAGCATCTGCTGATGGTCTTTTGGCCAGACGCACTCGCTTGCTACTTACGACCTTCTTTTCGGGTCCGATTTCCCCTACCCATCGCGCGCTTTCTTTCGTCGGCAGGTGTGGACCATAAGCTCTCCTCCAGCCAGGGCAGCGTTCACGCCGTTTCAGTCACGGCTTGCGCGGTGTCGGACCCTTTGACGAGTCGCAGGCACGCAGTCGCAGGAACTCGGCAACAAGCGTGGCGGTCAATGAATGGATGGATGGGATGGATGGAAGATGGGAATCGGGGTCTCGGCCCTACTTATCGACGACCCACCGCTCACCACTTCCACTAAATAACTCGACCAATTTGCTCCAGGATATATAACAAATTTGGAAAAAGAAATTTCAACAGTCCAATCAGATGATCTCGAGCATCATTTGATTACCCACAGGGCTTGTGGTTTAGTGGTATAATACTCCCTTAGCATCAAGAAAGCACGTTGCAAGATGTGCTTCACGAAGCATCCGCACCGGAATTGGGAGTGGTCCGGGGTTCGATTCCCCGCGAGTCCATCATTAGGAGGTTCAATTCCTCCCGTTGTACCTTTCTTTTTGCGATCGCTTGCTCTATCCAGGCTTCGACTGCCCGCAGTTGTCCACTGATGCCGTGAAGTTGACGAGAGCAGGCTATTTGTTATTGTTCATTCGGTTGAGCGACATCGCTGTCACACGTTTTTTTTTTTTTTTTTTTTTTTTTCTTGCCTCTGCCTGCCCGGACAGCATCTCGCCAACACCGCATCTCACCCCCAGTGCGGCGCGGCTACATGGCCCGATGGAAAGCGCCACGGCGGTCCTAGAAGTGAATGGCTACAAGTTCTGAAGGCCTAGCAATCGGAGCTCAAGCAGCCAACGCCGCGACTCTGACGTGGTGAAATGACCAAATGGTACGGTGGCTTCCGCCGCTGGCGATCACTTCGTTTTCCGGTATGGCGAGCGCAGCTTTCGCGGCCGGCGAGAACGCCCAGCTCCTGTGAGCCCAACACACCTCAGGGCGGGTGCTCTTCATCCCCTTTTTCGGGGCTCATCATTCCACCTCCAATCGATCCTTCTCGCAGAGCCTCGCGCGGCTGAAAGCCGTCTGAACTGCCAAGTCCGGCGTCGTGCATTAAGTAGCACTGCCGGGTGGTGACGGCGAGCCTTGCCGATGCAGGAAGGTCCATCACTTCAGGCATCCGTTGATGGGTGCTTTCGTTCGTTGCTGGACCTGTTGACAGCTGCCTCTCGGTTGCAGCTGGGCGTTGTCAATGAAGCGATAAAGATACCCAAGCGGTGAGTATATCAAGTCTGGATAGGACTGAGGTTGGTATAGGGCTGGCGTCAGCATGTTCTGGCAGCGCGGGGTCGCCGTCGAGGGACTCTGCGTGTCATTGGCTCAGTTTACCCTTCGGTAAGCGACTGCGAGGTCGAGCTGCACTTCCATTCTCACCGGCTCATACGCGAACATCTTCGTGCTGCTGTTTCAAGACACTGACCCTCTGCGGGACACCCCGCGCTTATCCTTGCCATGCCAATATGTATGAAGGAGATACGTAAGTATGTATGTATGTCGATCGCCAATCCTCGCCGTTCAGCTCAGCCCGAATCCCGGACATTGCCCAGGCTGCCAGGATCAGAGCTGCCTTCCTCGCAGAATCAGCCCCAAATTGGCTCGGTAGTGGTCCGAGAGTGTGGTTGCCTACATGCAGAAGACCCCTTCGAACCTTGGCGTCCTGGCCAATGTCACAATGTGCGATGTCCATCCGCGATGTCTTTCACCCAGCTGAGCTGCAAGACAGACTTGATAGACTTGGCTGCTGACAATGCGCATCATTTCCCATCTGGGGACGGGGCTGGAGGAGGCCTTGCTCTGCCGGTACTTTACCTTACCATGCGCGTCGCTCCAGAACCGACACCCTTCTATCTCTTGTTAGTAACCGCCACTATACACCGGCTCGGGACGTAAGCGCCATCAACACAATACTAAGCTGCCGGTTTGAATTCCATTCTCGACGCCACGATGAGAAGCTGCGTGCGCGGTGCGACGGGCCTCGCCTGTATACTTCTTACTTTCGTGAACATGGCCTGCTGCTCACTGCGGGGTGCACTGCGGACACGGGCAGATAACGAACGTAAGAAGCCGTCCCATACATATCCAGCCGGTTCAACCCCACCAAACCCAAGTACCGGTACTCAAGTAACGTAGTAACTAACTCGACTCACGTCTCCTCCCCCGCAGATGTCGTCCTAGCCAACTGCGAAGACACGCATTCCGGGCAGAAGTCGTCCGAGGTAGCCTACTACAGCGGCGCGCCGGGCCGCACGCCGGACGACATCTCGGTGCTGTCGACGGCGGACTCGGGCTGGCAGCAGTGGGCCAACCGCTCGTTCGACGCCTACTTCGCCGACTCGGGCGTCACCTTCGCCGGCCAGCTGGACGGCACCGCCACCCCGGGCGCCCAGGCCGGCACCGCCTCCAACGGCTACTGGACCTTCGACTGCTACTACAACGCCACCGCCGGCCTGTACGCCGACGCCAACAAGACCTGCGACATGGTCTACGACTGCGACCACTTGGCCTGTGAGTACCTAGTCGGGGGAAAGAAGACCCCCCCTCTGTCTCTCTGAGGAGGGGGGGGAGGCGGGGGCACCGGATAGGTACTTACATAGGAAGTCAGCTAACCGCCCCTCGCAGCATCCTCCACCACAACGCCAACCACATCCTCATCCGCATCCGCATCCGCACCCCCGTCACCCACCGCCTCATCCAGCGGCGACCTCTCGGCCGGCGCCATCGTCGGCATCAGCGTAGGCACGGCGGTGGGCTCGATCTTCCTGCTGGGCATCGCGGCGGCCTTCCTGTGGCGGCGGTACCGGCGCTCCCCCCCGTCCTCCTCCTCCTCCTCCTCCGCCGCGGAGCCGTCCCGGAAGACGCTCCCGGAGCCGCCGCCGCCGCACCCGTACCTCCACGAAGCGGACGCCGGCGAGCGCCCGCCCGCCGAGGCCCCCGCCGACTCCGCCCCCTGCGAGCTCCCCGGCGCCCGCGACCCCGCCGAGCTCGCGTCCGGGCCCGCGGGCTACGATCACCGGGCGCGCTGGAACATGCCGCCCGCGTATGCCGCGGATGAGGAGGCGGTGCGGGGGTTTGGGGTGGGGGCGTATGGGAGCCAGAAGGGGCCGGTGTGAGATGTAGGGATGGGTTGGTTGATGAGGAAGAGCAGTGACGGGGGAGAGATACGGATTTGGGGTGGGGTAAGCGTTAAAAAAAAGAGCGAGATGTGACTGACTGATTGATTCGTGGATCATATGGTTTTAGATACCCTTTTGCTACGTACATAGGTAATTTGAGACGGATCACGTTCTCCTGTGTTTCTTCCCGACGGAGCCGTGATCTCGGGATGTGCACCCGTCGACGAACCGAAACGGGCATATCCGCAGTCCGTCCTGTGCCACAGTAAGACATGCACGGATATGAGGCATGGTAGGTGGCGGTTCGGTATAGCTCGAGGCCGTCCCTGGAGATGGAGGGGCGTAGTCCGGAGTCAAATCATAGCATACATGGTTGCATGGGGTCTGATTTAGTCTGCGTCTTCAGCTCGGCACCGTTTCTTTGGCCCCCTGGGCATATCAGTCGGAGCTTGTCTGCAGCCAAGGCCGGGCCAAGAGGCCGGAGGCCGGAGCCCCCCCTTTTCATTGAATCATTGCCCGCAGCATCAGGGGTAACTGCGTCCGATTATCTACATGCACCATTGCGACGTTCGGGAATACAATGATCTATATCAATCTGAAATTGGTAGTCTAGCCTATCCTTACTTCCCGACTTGCTCATCCGCCTTGCAGATTTGCCATCACTCTAGATGTTGCTTGAACTCGCATGGATTGGTCCAATGCAATACAACAGTCGTCACTTAGGGTGATCGCAAGTTCACATGTCGGGAAGCTGACTTCGAGGACCAAAGAGACACAGGTTCAAACATCAATTATTCTACCATTTACACATGCATACGTTCAGGCCGCTTTACTGCTTCAGGCGATCCCGGTCCAAGTCTACATCTTCTATCTTCACAGACTTGGTCCGGAAGACCACCTTGTGTCCTACGAAGAGGACGACAAACAAAATCAGACTGATATACGCGGAGAAAAAGTCACCTGTGCTCCACTTGATGAAGGCGGTGAAGCCGTTCGTCAGGAGGATGAGTATGCAGAAGAACACGCCATATACAGCCAAATACGGCTGGAAGGGTGCCTTGTAGGGTAGATCTGCTCTCGGGAATCCGCGATACTTAAGCGCCTTCTGAAAGCGCAGGTGGCAAATACAGATGCAGGACCAGGTAATAAACCCGGCTATACCCGAGATGTTGAGAAGCCAGTCGAAGGCTTCGGCACCAGTCGCCGAGAGCTTCAAGAAACCCAGGAGCCCGAAAGCGGAGGTGAATCCGACGGCAACGTAGGGGGTTCCGATTCGGTTGGTCCAGGTGAGGCAGGAGGGCGCATGCTTCTCGTTAGCAAGGGCGACGAGGATTCGACTTCCGGAGTAGACGTTCGAGTTGGCGGCAGAAAGAACCGCGGTTAAGAGGACGGCGTTGATGATATCGGGGAGCACCGGCACGCCCGCGAGATTGGCGGCAATGACAAGGGGCGAAGCGGAAGCGTCGGTGGAGTCGCTCATCAAGCCGGGCGTGTCGTAGGGCACCGTGAGACCGACGAAGAAGATGGTGGCCACGAAGAGGGAGACGATACCCCAGAACGTCCATCGAATCGCAGAGGGCACGCTCTTGGCCGGGTCAGCCGTCTCACCAGCTCCAATGCCTACAAGTTCGGAACCTTGGTAGGAGAAACCGGCAGTGACAAGTACGGACCAGAACGAGACGAACTTGCTCGTGGCTCCGTCCGGCACTAGCTCAGAGTTCGCGAAAGCACCGGGATGTACCCAAGCCTCGAAGCCAAGGTAGCCGTGCTGGCCGACACCGGCATCGACGCAAATGGCAAAGATGATGAAGCCCACGATGGTGATGACCTTGATACTGGAGAACCACATCTCGAATTCGCCAAACCAGCGGATGGGGAGGAAGTTGATGGCGGTGAAGACGACCCAGAATACGGCGATGAAGATGGCAATATTCAGGCTCTGGTTCCAGTACTGGATGATGACGCCGGCGGCGACCAGTTCCAGGGCAAAGGTCATGGCCCAGCTGAACCAGTAGATCCAGCCCATGGCGAAGCCGAGGGAGCCGTCGACGAAGCGGGAGGCGTAGACGGTGAAGGAGCCGGCGACGGGGATGAAGGTGGCCATCTCGCCGAGGGAGGTCATGACGGCGTAGACGATGCTGCCGACGAAGAGGAAGGCGATCAGGCAGCCGACGGGGCCGGCGGTGCCCACGGCGCCGCCGCTGCCCAGGAACAGGCCGGTGCCGATGGTGCCGCCGATGGCGATGAACTGCAGGTGGTGGCTGCGCAGGCCGCGGTGCAGCTCGTCGCTGCCGGCCTCGACGTCCTGCTGGGACGAGCCGTTGACCGAGAGCACGGCCTCCTCGGCG